TGGGTTTGATTTTCAATTTTATTATGTAATTTTGTAGTATTAGTCTTGTGATGCATTGACTGAAAAAATAAATTTAAAATATACATGGAGCTATATTAAAATTTATATTTTAACAAAATATAGTTAACATAAATATTATTTTTTAGAAAATAACATTTTATATAATATAAAAAATATACATATAGATATGGTGTGAACCATTGTCGAGTATAGCAAAAGACATCGATCCATCACCTCCACTTGGATAAATGTCGTGGTTCGCAACAGGAACTTCTACTGTATGAACATCGATGGCTATATCGGCAAGTTTGATCCGGTAAAATGTAGGTGGAGAGCTCTCCCATACAAGCCCCTTGGATAAGGTCGATCTGTCCCGTCTTACGGGTGTAGGAAAAGCGTGTTCATGGCAGAGTATGACGGCGAATTCTTTCTAATGCACACTTATGGCGTGGTGCAACCCATAGTCTACAAGTCGGATGGGATCAGCTGCACATGGAAGAGGGTGAAGCACTTAGACGGCGCAACCTTTTTCACGAGTACCACGACATCCCTCATCCGGGATGATCTCCCCGATGGGATAAAGAACTGCATTTACTTCCCGGAGCGTGTGGACGATGGGAGGCATTGTCTCATCTATTCCATGAAACTCAAGAAGTTCTATAGGAAAACGCAAAAGTTGGAGCGGTCGAAGATGGAATTTCTAGGTGGCGCATGGATGGACATCGACGGTAGTGAGGTTCCAGTGACGGAAGAAAGGGACGGCATTGCCCGTATGAATCAGAGTTCATTGCTTAGAAGGGGGCAGAAGCATCTAGAAGCATTTGGAACGGAGTTCATTGCTTAGGAAGTAAAATTTTAATTTATGAGAATTTATTTTCAATTTTATTATGTAATTTTGTGCGATGATGTTTACTCATATTTGATTATTTACTATTATTTTATAAATCACTGAAAGGTAATGTATTGATATAAATTATATAGTAAAAAATTAAAATATTTTATACCACATCCTTTGTCTTTTGATTTCGAACACATTCAAATACAATTCTAGAAACAACAAAAAAAATGAAACATAATTTGAGAACGATAGAAACCAAAAAATAGTAGAAAGCAAGCACCAAAATTGCATTCGACAAACTCCTAAAAGCACCCGATACACAATTAAGACACATAGCAACACACACGAAATTAACACACGATCAAAGGTACAAATTGAAGTGAGCTATTTCTTCGAGAATTTTCCAAAAAGTGAAAATGCCATGAAATAAATAACTTAAAAATACATTGATAAATCATCACCTTTGAATTAATTCCTCCAACGTAAAAACCAACAAATATTACTACAAAATTCCACAACTTAAAACACTACATACCTCTCATGCTTAATTTTCTCAAAAAATACCATATCACATAATTATGTATTATCATGAAAATAAAATCAAATACTAATTTTTTTTTTTTTCTTAAAAAAAAAAAATCCATAACTCCAAGCCCTTTCAATCCAGATATTCTCATAAGGCTCATCTTTGCAAAGATTGTAGTCGTCCCTTCAGGGGAAGAATCTTTTCCGAGTAAGGAAATATACGATAGGCGCTTTTCATTAGTATATCACTTTCGAAAAATAAATGCTCCCTCCGTCCGCCTCTATACTTAACATTAAAAATATAATTTTTTTGTACAAACGTCATTTTCTATCTGTATTATAAGACACTTTTAATTTTTTCTTAATTTGTACTATGTCTTGATATAATAATTAATATTCAAATATCAACACGCAAAAAGTAAATCAGACCCTTAGAGTCGGACGGAGGTAGTTTTTTTTTTTCTTTTTTTCCCTCGTTATCCCCATCATATCTATTTGAATATGTCATATAAAATACCCTTAGTCTCGGTTGAAATTACTTCTTTCACTGGTAATACAGTATATAAGGTAATTAAATTTAATTTGTTACTAATATTGAATTAAGATATTATTTCATCATTTGAGTAATATTGTTTTAGTTTTAAAATAATAATTCATATATATTACACTCTCCATTCCACATACTTTGCAATATTTTTTATTTTGGTATATCTCACATATTCTGCAATATTTTCAAAATAGAAAATAATTAATATACATTTTATTCCATCACACAATTTAAATAAAAAATAAATATATATTTTTTCTCTCGTCACATCACCTAATTTTTACTTAATTCTATGTACATAAATTCCCGTGTCTAAATCCAAATGTTATTTCTTATACGTGGTGGAGCAAGTTTTGAAGAAAATGGAAAATACAACTACTGTATATCTTACAGTTGATTAACTGAGGAAAAAGAAGATATATACAAAGAATCTACCTCTAACAAACTCTGACAACCTAATGGGCTGGCCCAAGAAAAATAAACCTAAACCAACCAAATAAAATACATCAACAAAAGAAATAGGCCCATTATAACATAACCCAATTTATCACCATCATCTTCAATCTTCTTAATTCTCTGATTCTCTTCTCTTTCCATAACTTGACACCCTCCCCTCGAACCGAGCGTGTCCATGCACAACTTGGTACGAAGGTTTTTGAATAATGGTCCAGGTAGAGCTTTTGTAAATATATCAACAATATAGAGCTTGCTTCGTACATGCACCAATGTAATGAAACCTCTAAGAAAATGGCATCGAACCAAGTGACATGCTATTTCAATATGTTTGGTTCTCTCATGAAATATAGGATTTTTTGCAATGTGAAGAGTTGATTAGTTGTCACAATGAAGAGGAATTGACAATGAAACAGTCACCTTTAAGGCACCGAGGATGTTCGAGATCCAAAGGAGTTCACATGTTGTGGTACACATGCTTCTATACTCAGCTTCAGTTGAGGAGATACTTACAGTAGGCTGCTTTTTTGCTTTCCAAGAGATGGGATTGGATCCAATAAATATGCAGTACCCAGTTATAGACTTTCAAGAGTCCGAGCAAGTGCCCCAATATGCATCACAATAAGCTTCTAGCTGAAGTGAGGAATTTGCATCAAACACAAGACCATGATTCATTGTTCCTCTAAGATATCGAAGTAGGTGGAGAACAGCTTTCCAGTGTGATGATGTAGGTTTGTCCATGAATTGGCTCAACTGTTGTGTTGCAAATGCAACATCAGGTCTGGAAAAATTCAAATAAAGTAGTCTTCCTATAAGCCTTCTATACTGAGAAGGCTCTTTGAGTTCATCATCATCTTCCAATGATAGCTTCAATCCAGCTGGCAGAGGAGTGGACACTGATTTTGCATCTACCATTTTCATGTCCTCCAATATGTCAAATATGTATTGTCTCTGAGATAAGGCCAAACCATTCTTTCGATGTTTGAATTCTATGCCATGAAAGAAGTGTGCCTCTCCCAAGTCCTTAATTGTAAAGGCCTCATGTAAAAATATTTTTGCTTTCTGAATGAGATTAGGAGATGAGCCTGTCAACAATATGTCATCCACATATGTTATTAAATTCAGTAGGTCAGTCCCAACATGCTTAATGAATAAACAATGATCATGAGTGGACTGCTCAAATCCAAACTGGAGTACTTTCTTAGTAAGTGTTGTATACCATACACGAGGAGCCTATTTGAGCCAATAGAGAGATTTCCTCAACTTGCAGACCTGCCCTGGTTTGGTGTGTTAGCCGAGTGGAGGTTTAAGATACAATTCTTCGTCCAATGTACCATGAAGAAATGCATTGTTGATATCCACTTGTTGAACAATCCATCATTTTGAGACAGCTATGGCAAGTACAAGCCTTACAGTGACGCTTTTAGTCACTGGTGCAAAGCAATTATCATACTCAATTCCATGCACTTGCAAGTAACCTTTTGCCACCAATCTTGCTTTGTATCTATTTATAGAGCCATCCTTATTCATGTTAATTCTGAATACCCATTTGCTCCCTATTGCTTTCATACCTTCAGGAAGGTAGGTTAATTCCCATGTCTCATTCGCCTCTAATGCCTTTATTTCTTCATCCATAGCTTCAATCCATTCTTGTTTCTTAGCTGCCTCTAAGAAAGTGAGGGGCTCTTCTGTTGCATTTTCAAGTGTGTCATGAGCACACACATAATCTTTCATCCAGCATGGCTTTCTTGTGATTCTTGGTTGTCTCCCTTCCATCTCAAGGGTAGCAGGTACACTGTCTTCAGTCGTTGTTTTAGCAGATCCAGAAGTGACATCTTTGGATGAGAGTGAGGATTCATGACCAACAACATCTTTGGATGAGAGTGAGGGTTCAGGGGGAACAACAGACTCTGAGATGACCTCATACCTCACTTTTTCAATAGTTGGATCAGCAGTAGAATTTGCAGGACTTGAAAAGTTCATTCTTCTTACTTGATCATCTTCAAATAACCTCACTGGGCTAGAAAGCACATCAGTTTGTTGTGCATAAGAGTGCGATGATGATTGATGTGTGAAACCTAGAAATATATGCTCATAGAAGACAACATCCTTTATAATTAGTATTTTGTTTGGATCTAGGTCAAACACCTTATATCCCTTTGTGCCCCGTTCATATCCTACAAAGATGCCCTTAACAGCTCTTTTGTCAAGCTTTGTCTTTGAAGGATCATTGTTTGATGCATAACATAAGCATCCAAACACTCTTAAATTTTCCAAGTTAGCAGTGAATCCGTGGAGTACCTCATAAGGAGATTTCCAGTTAATGACAGGAGTAGGAAGCAAATTTATAATGTAAGTTGCTACAAGAAGAGCTTCTCCCCAAAATATAGCAGAAAGTCCCAAGTGAAATAGCAGAGACCTCATTACTGTCAAGATGTGATAATTTTTTCTCTCAACTCTTCCATTTTGTTGTGGCCTATAAGGACAAGATCTCTGATGTAGAATTCCATTTTCCTGTATCAAATTCTGGAAGTTATGGCTCAAAAACTCTGCTCTATTATCCGTCCTTATGATTTTGACCTTGGTTTTGTATTGAGTCTGAACAAGTTTAATGAAGACTGAAAGTATGATTGGAGCCTATGATTTCAGTTTCATCAAATAAGTCCAAGTGCTTATGCTATGGTCATCCACAATTGTTAAGAAGTATCTACTACCATTCAAAGATGCCTGACTATAAGGACCCCATATGTCAACATGAATCAACTCAAAACAAGAGTCGGCATAAGAAGTACTTTTATTGAATGAGAGTTTTTTTTGCTTTGCATAATGACAAGCATCACAAGGCGCATTAGGAGAAACAGGTTTGGATAATTGTTGTAACACTTTATTGGATGGATGACCTAACCTGAAGTGCCAGGAAACTTCTTCATCAGCAGCCATAACTTTCAGTGAGGGATTTAACCACAAGTAATAGAGATGCCCTTTTAGTCTCCCCTTTCCAATCTCACATCTACTTGTCTGGTCCTGAATAGAACAAGAATTAGCCACAAAGTTCACACATAGATCAGAGTCCAGGCACATCTTATGAATTGAGATCAAACAGTATTTGAAGTCAGGGATATAATAAACATCATAAAGAGTAATTGACTGATTTGGCTGTATACTCCCTGTGTGTGTTGCAAGCTGAGTTGTTCCATTAGGTAAGTGAATCTTAGCTGGCTTATTCAAGAGTTTTAAGTGTTTAAAAAGAGATAAGTTATTGCTCACATGACATGTAGCACCTGAGTCAAGAATCCATAAGCATTTATCATCAAAATCTGTATAAAGATTCACAAACTCCTTACCAACATGCTCCACCTCAAGCATGTTCAAATGATCAAGTGGAGTTTTGGCCTTCATAAAGGCCTTTTGAATTTCTCTATGGATTAACTCAGCTAGGGAATCAGTGGATAGCAATGGATTGGAGACAGAAGAACCACTGCCATCAGCAACTTGCATTGCAGCCTGTTGGTCTGTGACAGTGTAAGCTCCCTTCATTTCCCTCTTTCTCCTTTCTTGTATGGCCTTATACCAGTCAGGTGTTCTATTTAGCTTGAAACATGTATCCTTGTTGTGACCTGTCTTTTTGCAATGCTCACAAATTATGCTTCTTTTGTTAATCTTTCTCTTATCTGTAACTTCAATATAGTGGGATGTGTTTCATGAAGCATACCATGTATTTCTTGTTGCTTTTCTACACTTGATAGTATTCCATACACTTTGTTGAGAGATGAGAGGGGGTCCATCATCAGAATTTGACTCCTTACAGCATCATAAGAGTCATTTAACCCCATCAAGTAATCAATGATGTCTTGTTTGTTGATGTATTCATCATCTCATTTTTGGTCTCAGGCATGGGAGCCAAGCACCTTAGTTCATTCTTTAGTTTCTTCAATTTTGTGAAGTAGGTAGCCAAGCTCAGTCCACCTTGAGATAAGCCAGAGATTTCCCTTTGAAGACGGTAGATTAGGGGACCGTTGCACTGGCCGTATCTCTCTTTCAGTAGTTCCCACAGTTCATAATTGGTGCTCACATACCCAAAAACATCGGTCAATTGAGATGTAATAGAGTTGAGGATCCATTGAAGTATCATATTGTCAGTCTTTCTCCAAACAATGGCTGAAGTTGCATCATTTGGCTTAGAGATTTCACCCGTGATAAAACCTTCTTTTCCTTTTGCAATCAGGGCACGCATTATCCCCCTACTCCACAGTAGGTAGTTAGTATCATTGAGCTGGTTAGTAATCAAGCTTATACCAGGTTGATCAGATGGATGAAAACTCCAAATGTGCCATAGATGTTACCACTAGAGCCGCTACATTCGAGCTCTATACATCAGAGGCGGAAGAATCAGTTGACATGATTCAAGGTTGAGAACTCCCAATCAGATAAAGAGAAATAATAATCCTTTAATCACAGAGCAGTAATCCCAATGCCCCTGTGCTTTGATACTATGAAGAAAATGGAAAATACAACTACTGGAAAATGGAAGAAGACGATATATACAAAGAATCTACCTCTAACAAACTCTGACAACCTAATGGACTGGCCCAAGAAAAATAAACCTAAACCAACCAAATAAAATACAACAACGAAAGAAATAGGTCCATTATAACCTAACCCAATTTATTACCATCGTCTTCAATCTTCTTAATTCCCTACTTCTCTTCTCTTTCCATAACTTGACAAGTTTTGAAATAAATTTAGACTACGAGGGTGTTTGACAAATAGCTTTTTGAAGAGCTTTTAACTTATTGAACAGTTTTTAGAGCTGTTTGACCAGTCAAAAAGCTAATTTAGGTGTTTGGTAAATTAGCTTTTTGGAATAGCTTTTTGGACCCAAAAAGCTAATTTCTGAAAAGCTAACTTACTCAGCGTTTTGAAATAGCTTTTTCTGTAAAAATTTTTTTATTCCTTATATACCCTTAAAAATTTATTATACATTTTACACAAATAAATATATTTTGATTATTTATTAATTATATTAGAATATTTTATTATATTATAGTTTTACTTTTATAAATTTAAAATAATTAATTTTTATATAAAAATTATTTTAATTTTAAAATATATAAATTTATTAAAATCAACATAAAATAAAAAATATAAATATTAAAAATTTATTTTTTTATTAAAATTACATTATATAAATTTTATACTAAAAATAAATTAAATAAATTAAATTTATTGAAAATTATAATTATAATGAACTAATCGATAACTAACATAATAAATGTATACATGAAAAATTTATTATTTTATATTTTCCATCATTTTCAATAAAAAAAACTATTTATATATTTTAATAAAAATATATTATTTTTTAAATCTAATTGTAATAAAAATAAATAGTTTTATAACACTTTTACAATTTTCAATAACTAATAACAACAAATTTTAAACATTCCAAACTCAAAAGAACATAATTGAATATATTAGAAACAAGAATAAAATAGAAATGTCCTCAATTGTCATTTTACGTAGAAACAGCTAATATCAAACAGTTGTTTTACCAAACATTTTAATACAAACAGCTAATCGAATTAGATAGTCAAACCAGTTAATTGAATCAGCTAATAGCTATCAGCTAATTGAATCATCTAACAGCTAACAACTATCAACTAATTGTCAAACACGCCCTATGTGCACTACAAAAAAATAATATATTTATAACGGAATTCCGTCTCTAAAGTTCACGTAGCTAACGTAATTCCATTCCTAATTCCGTTTCTAATGTCATTAGTAACGGAAAAAGTTGATTTAGCGACAAAAAAATTTTGTTACAAAAATGATATTTTCTTGTAGTGGTTTTTAAATATTTCAAAAAATAATATTTACCAATAAAATATATATAATATAAATATTATTTTATAAAAAATAAAATTTTAAATGATACAAATAAATAAAAAAAATAACAATTTCAAATAATATTTATTTATTTATAATTAAGATTAACAATTTTTTCGAAATATAAAATTTTAAATATAAATAAAAATATTAATCTATTAATAATAAATAGAAATAAAAAAATTTTAAATACTCCTATAATGTTATATATTACTCTCTCCATCGTAATACATTAGTCCTATTTATCATTTTTGTCATTCTCAAAACAATAATCTCATTTCACCGTAAAACTATTTTACTTTTTCATTACTATTACAGAATTGCCACTATTTTTTACACTAATATACTCACAAGGACAAAAAAGTCATTTATCTTTACTTTTTATCAGTTATTAATATAATATCAATATTTTTTAAATCTCGTGCCAAAAGACTATAGTTTTGGGACATATGGAGTATATGATTTTATAAATTTTACTAGTGTCAATTGAATCGAAGGGACAATAAATCTAAGTTTAGGGGTTGAAATATAATGTACGAAAGTTGTAGAGGATTTATTTGTAATTTAGGGTTCGATGTCTCTTTATTAGCAAATTGTGATTTGAAGAGACTGCGATTCCCCGAGTTCGTTTTTCTCCGTTTCTCTTTGATTAGTAGGGTTTTCCAGGTAAGTTATTCTCGATCGCTCTTTGTTTCGGTATTTCGGAAGCGTAGTGATGGTTTAATTAATAGAATTTGATGTATTTTGCCGTCGAGAAGCCTACGAAGAGTAAAAGTCATTGTTCGAGAACAAAGGCGAATTAAAGTTAGATATATTTGTGTACGTTCAGATTTTAATGCTACGAGTTACCCAGTTTTTTGTTTTTTTCAACTTTATTGCAGTGCTGAATTCTCCTCTGGATTAATGTTTAAGAATACATTTCAATCTGGGTTTCTTTCAATTTTATATAGCCTTGGGTAAGCAATTTTATCATGTTAATATGCTTGGGCGTGCCACTAATTTGTATGTTTAGTTAATGCGAGCTTGAGTTTAAAATATGATTTTTCATTCTTCAGGAGCAAGCCATTACAGATATGGGATAAAAAGGGTATGTACTTTGCTATTTCTCTAATTTTATTTTGTTAATTCATATTCTTCGTGTAGGTTTAGTTTTCATTGTATGTATCCATGGGCGGATTTAGGCATGGATTTAATTTCGGATTATCGCTTTGAATTGCTAGTCTATCAGCATGTTTGCTGCACAGGCAAACTAATTGCTTTGCCTTTCGGCCATATCATTTTCTATGAACATTTTTTTTCTGAAGCTAAAATTTAAGAGGACCAGGTTTGGGTGATAAATACTCTGCTTTTAGGTTATCTGTGGAATGAAAATTTTTTGCCTACTTTAAAACTTTCCTGAAAATTGGTTGAGAGAAAACTGAGCTAGCTACTCATAAAATAATTGCCGGAAGTTTGTCAGAGTCGGAAAATTTTTATTTTGAGCATAATTTATTTTGGTCTTTTAGTGTAATAAATTAAAAAGTTGAGTTTAAATTATAAGTAAAAAATTAAAATTGGGCCAAGTAGGGTAAGATAATTAATAAAGGCCTAAGTATTTTATGTTTAATAAAAAAAATAAGTGGGATTAATCTTAGATAAATTGATATGTTCTAATCCCTGACCCCTCTATTGATATCTTTTTCAATATTATTGCCAAATGGGTTTACCCTAAAAGTGTTAAGTTTTGACAATTTCTTCTAGAAAGTTAATTATAATGCTTATGTGAAGATTATTAGTGGATTTTAAATTGAAAATCGTAAAATTTATGGGATAGGGTTGAAACCCTAATTTTGCCCTAACCTAGTTATAATTTTTGGAAAAAGATTTACGATTATATTTAAATATTATGATTTTTGGAGTTAGACTATGCCTATTGCGATTGACATATTTTTCGAATGTTTATTTCGCGAAATAAAGTGAGATTATAACGAACTTGTTGGGTCTAATATCCTATTTTTGCATGGTTAAATGTTGACAATTGGAATATTATGAGTTCAAAACACTCTTTTTGAAATTTGCCTAAGAGCATGTTGAGTATTTGGTCAAATTGGTAATTGAAACTACCCGTCGAGTCCGATCAACTCGTCGATTGTTTGGATGATAAGGCATAGCCTTCCACCTCTGTGCCTTGCAAACATGTGAGAGTATATCGGTATTTTAGGATAACTAGCTAACCTTGAACTAGATTTCGAATGGGCTAAGTCGAGTGATCGAGATGGCGGGTTCCCCTTTTGGGTGATTCCGAGGTGCCCGTCATTCGATGAAAGTCTTTAGACCGTCATCCGTGATGGAGGGATGGATTGCGTACAATCCCCTCTTGATATGTTATATTGGAGACTAGAGGGTTGTGGGCCGTATGACACCCCTTGCAAACTAATAATAAATTGATTTACGTGTACTTTGGATTTCGAACCCTTATTTACACATTGTGGAGTTTTCCTTGAGGGTTCGGACCCTATGGTTGTTATGTGAAACTATGTGACGTATCAAACGAAGTAATAAGATTGGAAAACCGGGTCGAGCCGGCCCTGATTAAGGCCTAGTGGAGTTTTTTTTTTTTTTCGTGATGTGCTCATCACTATTATTTGAGAATGAAAAGGAGACATAACGAAGGCGCTAAAAGACTCGTATGTGTGAGTTTCCCTTATGTGATACGTGTCCTCTTATTCGACTATCTTCTTCAAATGATTTTGTGGCATTATACCGTATTAATTTATCTTCGATTAATTGCGCTTACTCAACCGTGTGTTGACACTTTTCTTACGATCTTGTAGGTGATCATACTTCCGTTATGCCTAAATGATGCATTCACGTCATATGATTCATCGGGGGAATTAGAACTACTTTACCTTCTAAAATGTTTTGAAATTCAACGATTATGTTTAAAGACTAATGCCTTTTGAACTATTTCTAATTTATGTTTTCTATTCGAACTTTATTTATTTAAATGATAAACCGGTACACTTTAATTCTAAATATCTAAATAATTGTTTTGTAATGGTTATATTAGCCTTAGCGCCACAACGTAGGACTCGTTGGTTGATGAACGAGCCTTCCAGTGTGGCGTGGCGGTAACGCTCTGGTTTGAGCCAACCGGGGTGTTGCAGTCGCTCATTTAATTCACTCGTTGCAGAAAGCCTGAATGATCTTGCAGACGACTTTGGTGGCTTCAAAGATGATCGCGTAAAGTGGTTCATCCATGGAGGTATTTTAAGCTTATTAGTATCGATATAATGCATAGATTCTATTATAAGTCGAACACATCTCTTCGATTAGTAGTCGACGATATCGATATCGACAGGATACACAGCTGAATTTATGCCCTATTTTGAGTAGCTTTTATGACTCCTTGGCTTCTTGATGTGACCATCATGACGGAATCGGACCCAATCATAATTCCTCCTGGACCAATCACTAGGAGCCGAGCCCGTAAATTTCAATTGGCAATAACAAAGTGTGCCAAACTTCAAATGGATGCCACTGCTGAACTCTACAACGACGATCAAAATAAACCACAACAAGCCTTCGACAAGCTGAAATATTTGTTAACTCATGCCCCAATTCTTAAACTCCCGAACTTTGAACTAACATTTAAACTTGAATGTGATGCTTCAACAAGTTGAGGTAACCTTCCGAATTCGTGGTTATATGGACCAGGTTGTATGCGATGTTGTGCCAATGCAGGCTTGCCACATACTACTTGGACGGCCTTGGCAATTTGATCGCAATGTCACCTACTTTGGGAAGGAAAATACTTTTACGCTCACACATGAGGGCAAAAAGATCACTTTGACTCCCCTTACCCCCCAAGAAGCCCACACGGATCAGGAAGTGATACAAAAAAACCATGTTCAAGAAATGATGGCTATGGAGAATGTCTCAAAATCAGCGGGAACTCAAAGCTCCATACAAGAGGCAGACATAAATTCCATGGCAAGTTCGTCTACGACCGCTCCATCAGTATAGACATCCTATTCCTAGATTAGATGATATGCTTGATGAACTTCAGGGTGCTGCTCTTTTTACAAAAATTGATCTTAAAGTGGTTACCATCAGATAAGAATGAGAGAAGGAGATGAGTGGAAAACTGCTTTCAAAACTAAGCTAGGTCTATATGAGTGTACTTTCTTGTTTTTAAATTTCCATGGTTCCTCTATAAAAGGACCTATGATTATCATTGTAAGATTATTCATTCCACAAAGAGATTTTATAAACTGGTTTTTTTTCAAGAGCGATTCTTGTGCATTTTTGAAGTGTAATCTTGAGTGATTCGGTTACAGCTTCATATCCTCAAATCGAGTTGTTTCGAATTATTTGAAACAAGTCGTGGCCTCTCGAATAGTACTGGAACTATTCTTGCCTTAGCTTGTATTGTCAGCTTGTTTAGAGGATTGTGATACGTGAGCTTGATCTCTCGTGTTGCCTTCTCGACTACCTCTCAATTCAAGATAGTCCAGTTTATCTCCATTAATATAGATATATATATAGTCATCCATCCCTTACTCTATCCAAATCTACAATATTCTTGTTACTTATTCTTGTGGAATTCGATCCGAACTGTCATCCTTGGCAAGTTGGCATTACTTCTTGTGTTATATGTGGTGGAGTGTGTCCTTTCTTGGGATTGATTTCAGCTGAAAATAGTGATGGGATGCACTATTTTACTCCCTCCTCTCAAATTTGTGCTCGAAATTTTTAGGCATTGGTTTCTATGTATGGGAGGTTTTGATTGAAATATTTTTATAGTAATAAAAATATAATAAATGGTATAATTATTTACTAAATAATGAAATAAGAATATTTTTCAAAGATACTAAAAAAACAAAAAGAAAGAAAGAAATGAGACAGGTTTAGGAAATATGGCCAGGCTTTGATTTTTTGGAATTAAAATATGAGACTGAATATTGTCAAAAATCTTCTACTTATGTTTCAGACTTATCTCTGTATTATTCAACAATTTTTTATTTTTTAACATCAAGTTCAATATTTGTCTTAATTTGATAATCTTATATGAAAAAACCAATTATATTGACACATAAAAAATAATTTATTTTAATTACTCCTCTTATTTTACATATATCGGAAAATTATTGGGATGTATTCCTTTAATTTTTTATTTTGTTTTTATTTAGATAGTAGTTTAGATTTAAAGTGTATTAATTTTTTATTTCAAATAAAAAATACATGAAAATTCAAGATTCGCTACTCTCAAATACATATATATTTTCAAAGTTAACGCTCATCATTGATCAATTCTAATAAGAACGATAGATACTCTCTCCATTACCAGAAAAATGTAAGAATGCAGTCGAACTATTTATACAAATTTAATTTTGTTGCAGTTTCCTGTGACAATAAGAAGTATTATTTATCAATTGCTGCCGAAAATTGTTGCAGTTTTTTGGGACAACAAGGATGAATACTTAATTATCAATTTCTGCAAAGACTGCAACAATTTGTTGCAGTTTTCCAAATTGGTTCTCTGCAAATTATACAGATACTATGAGGATGGTTCGTGCAGTCCATATCGCCCGGGCGCCAAATAACGACATCGGGAGCATATGAAGCAGAATTAAGGGGGAGAGTGTTGGGTGTAATTCTGATTATGCATTTGATTGATTATATAATTAGTTATATATTATAATTTGTTATTATTTATTCTATTAATTTCCTAATTAGTTATGTCTATTTATAATTCAAATTTAAAATTGTTTCTGTTAGTGTTGAAAGTCGTGTCTATTATAATTATAAGATTGTATTCATTGTTCTTGTAGGATGTATTGTATGCACATGGTTGTATGATTATCAAACAAGTGTATCAATCTGTTTCTTTTAATCAAAGAAATCGTTCAGATTTGTTTTTCATATTCCCGATCTTTGTGAATTTAATTTCTAACATCGAGCGCATCCAAGGGGCTCGTATGGGAGAGCTCTCCAACTGCATTTTACCGGATCAAACTCGCCAGTATAGCCATCGATGTTTATACAGTAGAAGCTCCCGTTGCGAACCACAACATTTACCCAAGTGGATGTGATGGATCGATGTATTTTGCTATACTCGACAATGGTCCACACCATATCGCCCGGACCCCAAATAAGGACATCGGGAGAATTATCCGGGAAGGTAATGAGCAGCAAGAATACAGTGCAGTTTGGCGACGTTGGCGGGGCTGAGAACGCGGCCATATCGACCAGATCATCAGATAGTATCTTTGGGAGCTCAACAACCTCAGTCGATTGAGGATTGTAGAAATTCATCGCGTGGGTATCGTCATCGTGGAACAACATCCAACCGTCCTTGGCGTAACGGACTACGCCGTGAGGTCGATTTGGAAAGATGATCCTATTTGAGAGGCAGCGGGAAAGGTCGCAGATATGAACCAAGTCATTGTTCTCTGGAATGCGCACATTCATCGGAGGCCGTTTTGTCTTTTTGAGAGACTTTGCTATGTCTCGTGATTTTCAACATACGCCGCTAGCTCGAGCTCTGTCCCCAGAGCATAACTAGGATATGATTTTTTCTAAAAGCTCTGCACGAAGGTCTAATTTCAGCTTTTTTCGTTTGTGAGAATCAAACCAGAGTGAGAATTTACAGATCTTGCACACCAAATGATGAGTCAAAATCAATTTCATAGAAATCAAGAACATTAATAATTTTGAAATTAATTGAATTGGAACAATTCAAACACAACTGATGCTCTGATCGACCTTAACAAAGAATAATTAAACAAAAAAAAACCAATCGATCTATTAAGCCAAAGCAGATCCAAACCCTACTCAGCTTCCAAATGTGCAAAGGCAACAACAGCACACAGAATCCAGCAAATTAAATTCAAACAATTAACAATCAATTACAGGTAAAGTGCAGTTACTGATCTGAATCAAGTACTAATTAATTTACGAAATGAAGAAATGATAAGCTTTCATCGACCGATTGCTTCTCCTTCCAGACATGATTGCGAGATGAGATGAGATGAGCTGAACAGCGGAAAATAAACACGAAACGTTTTCAGCGATGAAGACAGATTAGAGTGATGTTAGCGCTTCCTTCCACTTATATAGCGAGTTCTGGAAATGACCAGTGTATTACACCGGGTTCACTCCACACTTTTTTTTTTTAAAATAATTATAATTTAGAAGAATAACATTGAAAAGTTATGGTTTTTTAATAAATAATACAGGTAATTTGATTTAGTTGCCATTTATTTATTTCATATGATGTTGCCAAAACTTTTATTTCAAAAGGGAAATCATGCATGTTGAGCTGATGAAAATTCTGAGATTGTAAGGTTTCTTCATTTTATTGTTTTGATTTTTCAAATTTTCTGGCGATTTTAATTGGAGTTTCTTCGTGCAGCTACTTGTGCTCTTTTTGTTGTGATTCATTGTTGTTTATGCTTTAGGCGTAGAGGTTGATTATCCTTCGATTTCTTTTTGTTGTTTTCTTGGTTAGGGTTTTGGGTTTCATTTCTGGTGCATCTGCAGGTTGTTTTCGTTTGTTGATTGTAATTCTTGTTGGTTGGGTGTGGATGTCAATTTGAGTTCACCATAGAACTCAATTTTTGTGCTGCTTCAGCGAACCTTGATTTTCCACAATTCTATTCAGCAAAATCATAATCTTCTTCTATGCAATTATGTTTGAAATGTATGGCATTAATGGATGAGCTGCATTCATCAATTGGAAGGTTGATTTCGATGTAGATTAAAAATGGTTTTGATATATGCTAATTTATTCCTATTATATTTCAGAATACAGTTTTCTTTTTTGAAATAACGATGTTTATATGTCTTAGGGTTTTTTTTTTTTTTAATCAACTTGAAACACTCGCTTTTGCGCAAAAAAAGGGTTTCCAATCTTTGATCCACCCAATCAACTAGTCTTGTAGTTCATAAATATTCATGTTAATTTTACAACGGTATAACTGTTCTTATTTTTTCTTGTTTATGATGTTATAATGGTTGAGATGACATATGTGATCGAAATTCTTTTAGATACGTGTCCTCTTTACAAGAAGCAGCCGGAGGGATTCATCGAGTCGGGAAACGAAAATAAGGTATATAAACTCATTAAGTCTTTATATGGTTTAAAATATGCTCCAAAACAATGGCATCAAAAGTTTGATGAAATTGTGTTGTCCAATGGTTTTGTTTTAAATCAATCGGACAAGTGTGTTTACAATAGGTTTAATAATGCCGGCGAAGGTGTTATAATATGTTTGTATGTGGATGACTTGTTGATCTTTGGGACAGATCAAAGTCATGTTGATGAAACAAAAGATTTTTTGTCTTCCAAGTTTGCAATGAAGGATATGGGGAGGCATATGTGATTCTTGGGATTAAAATCAAGAGAGAATATGTCGGGATTGTAATTACGCAATCGCATTATGTTGAAAAAATTCTTAAAAGGTTTCACACCGAGAATTGTAATCCAGTTAATACCCCATTTGATCAAAGTGCAAAACTTATGCCAAATACTGAAGAATCGATGTGCCAACTCGAGTACTCAAGAGCCATAGGTTCTTTGATGTACGCAATGATAAGCACGAGACCAGATGTTGCTTATGTCATTGGAAGGCTAAGTCGATTTACAAGTAAGCCAAGTACACACCATTGGTAAGCACTTAGAAGAGTGTTTAAATATTTGAAATCCACAATAAATTATTGTTTGTCGTATAGTGGGTTTCCTCCGATCATTGAGGGATACTCGGATGCTAGTTGGATAAATCATATAGAGGATCACTCATCTACGAATGGGTGGGTATTTTTGCTTGGAGGTGCTGCTATTTGTTGGGCATCAAAGAAGCAAACTTATATAACTAGTTCGACAATGGAATCTGAATTTATTGCTTTGGCCGCGGCCGGAAAGGAAGATGAATGGTTTCATAACTTGGTTCATGAGATTCCATTGTGGCCAAAACCGGTCTCACCCAATTCTATATGCTGCGATAGTTCAGCAACAATGGCAAAAGCTTATAGTGTAATCTATAACGGAAAGTCTCGACATATAGGCGTGAGACATAGCATGATTCGTGAACTTCTTAATAATGGTGTGATTTCGGTAGAATATGTTCGTTCACAACAAAATTTAGCTGATCACTTGACGAAAGGATTAGCTAGAGAACTTGTGCACAAGTCATCTGTCGGGATGGGATTAAAGTCCATTAAATTCATCTAAGGACGAGACACCCAATTCCCTTCTAATACGATGTTAGAAGTTGAATTCAATGTGGAAAGCTTATCTTTAGTTGATTGGAACGTTTCTTAAATAATCATCCCAAGGTAAACGTTCAATCCTGTAAGAAGGTTAAGTTGAGAATTATTCTCTCAATGATTTCTTTAAAAAATTGCATTGCAGGAGCAAGATTTAAAGAAATCGCCTATACAAGTACGTAGTTTTGCCGTTTCAAGACATTTAAGAACTTTGATGTCGATGTGCTTGTGAAGGATAGGGACACAGGGCTGGAAAGTGTCAAGATTAATGTTAGGATTTGTAAACACTTGTGTACATTACAAGCATGTATTCTTATGAGTTGATAGGTCCAATCCCTTGTGATACCTTGATTCTCGAATAAATGTGTTGTTAGGTACTAATATGAAAATTCAATCGTTCGGATATTTTCATTTATGCGTTTGTTTGATGAGTTTGATTAATTTTATGAATAATTCAAGGGTTACACCAAAATGGGGGATGAATGTTGGTTATTTTGGTATAGTCGGAAATTATTCTTAGGCCAAGGGATGTCAAGGTTAAGACGAGTCTGGGACGGGTCGCGTGGAGTACGTGCTCGGACAAGCTTTCCTGATGTCAAAAACTGGGAAAATAGATCGCAGAATAAGCTGTTGGATTTATTCAAATTAAAATGAAAATTATTATTTTAATTGAGTTTATCAAATTCAATTTCTTAAGATTTGAATTTGAATAACCTAGAGAATTGGTTATTAATTTTAATTCAAAACTCTTGAAAACTCCCGGATTATGTACCTAGGCAACGCTTGGCCTTTACGGTTTCTTTCTTCTCGTGTATAAGAAAGTGATCATTCTTTTTTTCCAAATATTAATACTTATTGTTAACGCCTATAACAATTGAGTGAAAACTTCTTATTATCCTCGTACTTATTTCCTGATACCTAATGCGTAAAGGGTCAAATAAAATATATGGACAGTGTTTCGCGATTGGAAGTTCTATCAAGTCATTGTCTTACCCTGCTATTCATATAGTTGACATAACATACATAACTTACAGCATTTCTGCGAGAAGGCCCAATATCTATATATATATAAGGAAGAGAAGTAATCGGGTCGCCCTTTTGAAAGGATTTCTTACTGTCGGTCTTTTCTGTTCTCTCGCCACTGCTCAGCCTTAATCATGACTGCAACAAACGAGAATCTGTCTAAGTCCGAAGCGTATGGTTTCTTCCTTCTGTAAACTCATTCAGTAACTGCAGTTTCTTTATTCTTTTGTGTGGTTGATTATATTGATCCTTCAACGAATTAGTTAGGGTTTGAATTACTGCCTCATGGTGTGAACCAAATAGGGTTTGGGGATCTGTCGAAATCCTAAGCTTTGTATTCCTTTTTATAATTGTTTTGGGATCTGCCTGATGGTCTGTCTCAGTTTTATTTGTGTTCAAATTTGTTTGATTCGGCGAGGTGCTGATGGATTTCCACATTTTAAACCCACATAAGGGTTTAGGACTGATTGATCAGTTTGTTTAATCATTTTGTATTACGATTTGAGCATCAATTGTCCTTAATTGAAATCTTTAATTAATTTCCCAATTGAAGTCTTCCAATGGACTTGTCAAAATCATTATCATATTGGACTTTTCAATGAGTGAAAGATTAAAAAGAAATAATAGGATAGTTAATTGGAGTTAAACATCTATTTTTCTTCCTTAGCTTTTATATGGAATGAAAACTTGTTATCCTCTAGGTCTCGGATTCAGTATCTTTGTTCTTAAAGGGGATTGGTTACGATCAAGACAATTAGTACTCTTCTAGTATATTTATAATTGGTTGGTAAAGTTGATATTTGTGAGCGAACAATTTGCTTTAATATGTGTTACCTTTTACGCGCGTGTCGGTCAATTTTTGCTGTTGTCTTATACGGCATTTTCCATTTTGTTGTCCTGGTAGATGAGTTGAGTAGTATGATCAATAAATAAGACTTTTAATTCAAGATCACTGTAACAATGTGATTGTCTGCTATTATATTTACCATTTTAATAAAGAATGTATTATCGGAAGATGCCTTTCGGGTTGAAGCTCCTAGTTTTCCAAAGCATTATCATTTAATTTTGATCCAAACAGTTGTAAAATGGTTGCCAACCTCTAAAAATAGCATGAATTGATTACGATAAGAAATGAAACATCTTTATCCCGTGGTTGTCAAAGTGTTTGTACTCATTGTTTTCATGCTCAATGGAATCAATTTTGACTTGTCACATATTGCGCTTAGCTAATTTATGCTAGTTTCTCTGTACATTCTCACTCTTGGATCATTTGTTTAATTTCAGATCTTGCAGCAATGCCAGCAAGCGGATTAGGATGCCGCGAAAACAAGAGTTGGACCTTCCTTCCGATGTTTTAGAACAGATCCTGTCCTTGTTAAGCTCTAAGGGTAGAGCACGAGCAAGTACTGTATCTAGAAAGTGGCGGGACGTTGCATATTATGTCAAAAGGATCCACCGCCCTCCCAAGTTTCTTTATTTCAATAATATCTATAAGAACTTTCTTGTCTGCGACCTTGCTTCTTGTCGCTCACACATTACCCCACATCCAAATCTACCTGGTGGTGATGTTAGTTACCCCAAGGATGGTTGGATGCTTTTCCACGATTCGGATATCGGGGCCATGAATTTCTATAACCCTCATTCTGCTGACTGGATTGAGCTCCCAAAGATAGATTTGAATTTCTGTAGAGCTGCATTCACTGCTCCTCCAACCTCGCCAAACTGTGTGGTATTCCTACTTCACAGTTCCAGAACCGAGGCTTGTGTCAATGCTATTACTTGGCGCCCGGGAGATATGGCGTGGACATATTTCAAATACGAATATGAACACCCATCCATCAGTTCCACCTGGAAAATTGTTGGTGACAACCGAGATGAAAATCCATCCTGCAGCTACACATGGAAGAGTATTGTGGTTCGCGATGGAATTTTCTACAGTTTCAACATATTTGGTGATATCGGAATTTTTGATCCGGTGAGACGGACTTGGAGAGCTCGCTCCTGCAAGCGCCTCAAATCCATTCGGCATATGAACAAGGTTTGTTGGGATTATTACATGTTCATGGCAGAGTACAAAGGCAACTTCTTTCTAGCGCAAACTAGTGGCTACCGGTTTCTCAACATCTACAAGTTGGATGAAGTTAGCTCACGATGGTACAAGGTTAAATTTAGGCGGTGCAACATTCTTCAAAAGCACCGTCACATCACTCATCCGGGATGATCTCCCGCATGTCATGAAGAATTGTGTGTATTTCCCAGAAAAATTGTGGATAATGAAAGGCACTGCAAAGTATATCTATGAAATTGAATATGTGCTATAAGAAATTGCAGCGCCATCCGTCTTATGTGGTTAGAAGAACTTGCCCAGACATCTGGATGGACATCAGTGAAGATCCAGAGATGAAAGAGAGGGAAGAGATTGTCCAAAATGAATCGGAAATTGTGGTTGTCGTTTGCGCGGATGCACCATGAAGCGTTTGGAACAAAGCTTGACCTTAGGAACTAATGGTACTTGTTAGATACATGATCATTTCCTAAGCTATAATTGTTGTGTTGTGAAGCCTCAAGCTGAAGTTTAGAGGAATTTTGTACATCTAGCCCATCGGACACCGTTTGACCTATAAATAATTATTATTTTATGTGTGTGTAAATACCTAGCCTAGCAGCCTCCAAACTTAAACCACTAATTCTGATTGTGTCACCAAATTATTTTCTTTCTAGTTCGTTTTTTTATCATGAGGTTTTGGTTGTATGTTTCATATTGGAAAACAAAATTGAAGGTCGCAGAAAAACAAAAAACAAAAAATTAAAGGTGGCGTGGACAGATAATAAATTAAATCTGGGCTTGGCGTGGACAGCCCCTGCAACAATACCTACAGCCTTTGTGATGGGGTTGGAAAATTAGAGATGCCATGTGAAGAGGAAAATAAAGCGGATCGATTGGCGGGATCAGAAGAGGAATAAACTTTGAATCCAAAAAAATCGTCAATCTGAATGCAGCAGTAGTTACCTTCACCCTTTGTTGATATGCTTCTTTCTTGCCTTAGAATAGGAAATTCCATTAGGAGATAATTGCTACTTTGATTTTATATTCGGGATTTAAGTTTTGTGATAGGACTGAATCGGTGTATATTTCATTCTACAATCAAAGTCTAGTGTTGGGAATTGGTCTTGAAGTATGAATTATTATTCACATCGAGAAATAGGAAATTCCATTAGGAGATAATTGCTACTTTGATTTTATATTCGGGATTTAAGTTTTGTGATAGGACTGAATCGGTGTATATTTCATTCTACAATCAAAGTCTAGTGTTGGGAATTGGATCTTGAAGTATGAATTATTATTCACATCGAGAAATAGGAAATTCCATTAGGAGATAATTGCTACTTTGATTTTATATTCGGGATTTAAGTTTTGTGATAGGACTGAATCGGTGTATATTTCATTCTACTATCAAAGTCTAGTGTTGGGAATTGGATCTTGAAGTATGAATTATTATTCACATCGAGAAATAGGAAATTCCATTAGGAGATAATTGCTACTTTGATTTTATATTCGGGATTTAAGTTTTGTGATAGGACTGAATCGGTCTATATTTCATTCTACAATCAAAGTCTAGTGTTTGAAATTGGATCTTGAAGTATGAATTATTATTCACATCGAGAAAGTTGCGACATTAATATTACATTACTTTTAATTTCTTAGGAGCTTAATATTTATTATGTTCTTGCATTAAAATTTAAATTTTTATATATGGCCTAATTGATGTGTTGATTGTTGTGAAGCACAACACATTTAAGGATGTCAGTACGAGATAGGGGGGAATTATTCGATCTTATATGCAATTTCAGTAATGAGAATCTGTAGGAATATTATTTTCATTCATTATTCTTAATAGATGTTATCATAATTTTGGAGTAGAGTGTGTTCTTTTTATTTTTTTTCTCACACACGTTTTCCAAAAGAGTTAATACACTGTACACATTCATATTTTTTATTAATTACAAAATTTTATATTCCTCGCATAAATTTTTTTTTTTCCAACCATTTCACAGAACAAACACACAGTTGGATTTTTTAAGAACAATATAGAGATTAAATTAGCATTTGATTTGATTTTTGTGAGAATACATAATTATTTGATATGATATTTGTTTAGAAATTTAATCAGATGAGACGTATGTAGTATTATGAATTGGGGAATTTTGCAGTCATATTTGTTAATTTTTTACATTGGAGGAATTAATTGATGGGGTGATGATTTATTTATGTATTTTTAAGTTGTTTATTTCATGACACTTTACTTTATTTTTTTGGAAAATTTTGCAAGAAATAGCTCAATTCAGTTTCTGCCTTTGATGGTGTTTTGGGTGTGCGTTTGTTTACGTCTTGATTGTGTTTTTCCGGTGCTTTGGGGTGTTTGTCGAGTGCAATTTTGGTGCTTGCTTTCTATTGTTTTTCGGTTCCCATTGTTCTTAAATTACATTTTGGTTTTTGTTTTTACTATAATTGTATTTCATTGTGCTTGAAATCAAGATAGAGGACGTCGCAGGCTATTAGGTTTGGACGAGAATTTACCCACTGCGCACTTTCGGCAACGACTGCAAATTTTTGTATTATTCAAAAAAAAAAAAGAGAGATAGGATGTTGTATGATATTTTTCATTTTTTTTCTACATAGTTTATATTAGCACATTAACTAAATAATCAAAGCATAAGTAAATATAATCGCACAAAATTACATAATAAAATTGAAAATAAAATCCCATAAACTAAAAAATTTTACTTCCTAAACGAGGATCTCCGTTCCAAATGCTTGTAGATGCATCCGCCCGAATGCTGCGGGATATAAATGCAATTTTTCATCGCGTCGGGGAGATCATCCCGGATGAGGGATGTCGTGGTGCTCGCAAAAAAGGTTGCGCCATCTAAGTGCTTCACCCTCTTCCATGTGCAGGTGATCCCATCCGACTTGTAGACTATGGGTTGCGCCACGCCATAAGTGCGCACTAGAAAGAATTTGCCGTCATAGTCTGCCATGAACACGCTTTTCCTCCACCCGTAAAGCGGCACAGATCGAGCGCATCCAAGGGGCTCGTATGGGAGAGCTTTCCAACTACATTTTACTAGATCAAACTCGCCGGTATAGCCGTCGATGTTCATACAGTAGAAGTACCCGTTGCGCACCACGGCATTTACCCAAGTGGAGGTGATGGATCGATGTCTTTTGCAATACTCGACAATGATCCACACCATATCGCCCGGGCGCCAAATAAGGACATCCGGAGACTCATCCCGGAAGGTAAGGAGCAGCAAGAATACGGTGCAGTTTGGCGACGTTGGCGGGGCTGAGAACGCGGCCATATCGACCAGATCATCAGATAGTATCTTTGGGAGCTCAACAACCTCAGTTGATTGAGGATTGTAGAAATTCATCGCGTGGGTATCGTCATCGTGGAACAACATCCAACCGTCCTTGGCGTAACGGACTACGCCATGAGGTCGAATTGGAAAGATGATCCTCTTTGAGAGGCAGCGGGTAAGGTCGCAGATATGAACCAAGTCATTGTTCTCTCGAACGCGCACATTCATCGGAAGCGGGTTCGTCTTTTTGAGAGACGTTTCTATGTCTCGCCATTTTCGACATACGCCACTAGCTCGAGCTCTGTCGCCAGAGCATAACGAGGACATGATTATTCTAAAAGCTCTGCAGGAAGGTCTAATTCCAGGTTTTCTCGTTTGTGAGAATCAAACCAGAGTGAGAATTTACAGATCTTGCACAACAAATTATGAGTCAAAATCAATTCCATAGAAATCAACGACATTAATGATTTTGAAATTAATTGAATTGGAACAATTCAAACACAACTGATGCTGTGATCAACCTTAACAAAGAATAATTAAACAAAAACAAAAACCAATCGATCTATTAAGCCGAAGCAGATCCTGGTAAATATAATTTGCAATCCCAAAATAAAAAGAATAAGGATTCCAACGCACCAATTCTCAAGGTAGTGAAGATTCAAGATCAGACTTTTACCATTCTCAATGTATTAATAAATTTTACCTGCTACAAATAATTTTCCTATAAATATCCATGTAGTATGTGCATTTGAAAAATAAGAAAGCATCAACGTTTCTTTCAAATAAAATTTCTCTCTACTGTAATTCTCTTCCACAACTCCTTATTTCCAACAAATTTGGTATCAGAGCATTAGGTTTTATTATTAAAAAAAAAAAGATGACTTCATCGTCAAATTCAGTTTTCAATTATACCGGTGCCCAAATTCCCATTTTCAATGGAGAACATTTCGATTACTGGAGTTCGCAGATGGAGACCATTTTCATCTCACAAGATTTGTGGGATGTTGTAGAAGATGGTTATGAAGAACCACCAGATGCAACAACCGAAGATTGGACAGAAGAAATGAAAGAGAAATTATAAGGAAAATGTGAAGAGAAATGCGACAGCGTTTATCCAGCGAGCTGTTGGTAAACCTATCTACCCCAGAATTTTTGGCATTAAGAAAGCAAAAGCAGCTTGGGAGATTCTGAAAACAGAGTTTCAAGGATCAGAAAATGTGATTACCAGAAAGCTGCAATCTTTGTGGAGACAATTTGAAACATTGTCTATGAAGGAAAATGAAATGGTACGCGATTTCTTCTCAAGAGTCGCTGAAATAATCAATCAAATTAAAAGTTGCGGAGAGGAAGTTGCAGAAAAATAAGTAGTGTAGAAGATTCTGAGAAGTTTGCCGCAGAAATTTGAGCACATCATTGTTGTCATCATTGAGACGAAAAATCTCAGGACACTCACTCAATTCGAACTTATGGGAACCTTGGAAGCCTATGAGCAAAGAATGAGCAACTACAACAACCAACCATTAGAACAGGCTTTTCAAGTAAAGACACACATTTTCAAGAATTCATTGCAACAAGGAAGAGGGGGATATTCCTTCGGTCAAGCACCCGGGAGAGGGCGAGGCCGAAAATTTCAGAACAGGGGTAGAGGGAAAGGTGAATTTGAAAAATCAGATGTAGAGTGTTACGTATGCAATAGAAAAGGCCACGAATCAAGAAATTGTTGGTGGAGATGCAAGACATGCAAGGTGCCAAACCATGCCAACAAAGATTGTTGGCATAAACAAAAGAACAAACAAGGAGAAGAGCAGAAAGAGACACACTTCTCAGCAGGGGATGAATCATGTAAGCTATTTATCTCCCGATCAGATAGTACAAAATCAGCCGCGAAGTGGTACTTGGACAGCGGCTGCAACAACCATCTATCTGGAAATCAAGAAGATTTCCATGAAATTGATAGAAGCTACTCCTCACATGTTAAGCTCGGTGATGGAAAGAAGGTGATGATTGAAGGAAAAGGAATTGTTGCCATTCAAACCAAAAAAGGTGACAAATTCATCCATGATGTAAATTTCTCGCCCAATATATCACAAAATCTTTTGAGTGTTGGGCAAATGATGAGAAATGGATACAAGCTGATTTTTGACAATGGAAGGTGTGAAATTTTCGACAAAAATTATGGAGACTGTGTAGCACAGGTGGAGATGACGGCTAACAATCTTTTTCCTCTCAAAATGGAGTCGCATTTTGCATTGAAGACTGCTGCCGAGGATGACACTTACCTTTGGCATTTGAGATATGGACATCTCAATTTCAAAGGCTTGCAGCTTCTACAGCAGAAGGACATGGTTGTCGGTCTTCCAAAAATCAGAAATTATGAAAAATTTTGTGAAGGATGTATATATGGAAAAATGCATTGGCTCCCATTTCCGAAAGTTGCAGGGAGAGCATGTACACCTCTTGAAATTGTGCAAGCAGATATTTGTAGTCCAACAAGAACACCGTCATTGGGAAATAAAAGGTACTTTCTTTTATTTGTTGATGACTTTACGAGAATGATGTGGGTGTACATCCTAGAGCATAAGTCGGAAGCATTTCAAAGGTTTATGCACTTTAAAGCACTTTCTGAAAAACAAAGTGGCTTTGCAATAAAGTGCTTAAGAACTGATAGAGGAGGAGAATTCATCTTCAAGCCATTCATGGAGTTTTGTAGAAAAGAAGGGATAAAAAGGCAGCTCACAGTCCGACACACACCACAACAAAATGGTGTAGCAGAAAGGAAAAGCCGGACGATTGAAGAAATGGCGCGAAGCATGCTTACTGAAAAAAATCTCCTGAATGAATTCTGGGCAGAAGCTGTTCACACCGCTGTGCATATTCTGAATTTATCTCCAACGAAAGCTGTGCGAGACAAGACACCGTACGTAGCATGGCACAATAAGAAACCCGTTGTAAATCAATTGAAAGTTTTTGGCTGCATTGCCTACGCTTTAATTCCATCCAAGAATAGGGAGAAGTTCGATGGAAAAGGAGAAAAACTTATCTTCATCGGATATAGCGACGAATCAAAGGGATATCGCTTATTCAATCCATCAACAAAGGAATTGGTACTATCAAGAGATGTTGTCTTTGATGAAACCGCGACATGGAAATGGGATAAAGAAGAAACAACAGAAACCTTCATTGAGCTCGACCCACTTCTTCCACAACAATCGTCCCAAAGAATTACTGATTCATCAAACAGTAACTCTCAGCAAGAAGAATCGGATTCGGATGAAGAACCACGCAGGTATCGTTCTTTAGATGAAATTTATAACTCATCTAATGTTGCGTTATTTGCATGCGAGCCACAATCTTTTGAAGAAGCTATGAAAGACAAAGTGTGGAAAAATGCGATGGACGATGAAATGAAAAGTATTGAAAAGAATCAAACATGGAAGTTGGTGGATCTTCCCGAAGAAAAGAAGCGATTGGATTGAAATGGGTCTTCAGGACCAAGTTCAATGAAGATGGAACTATACAACAGTACAAAGCACGACTTGTGGCAAAGGGGTATCAACAGTCTGGAGTGGATTTTACGGAGACATTTGCACCTGTAGCTAGAATGGAAATAATAAGAGTTGTTCTTGCAATCACAGCACAGCTTGCCGATGCACTCACGAAGGTAGTCACCGAAGAAAAGTTTCAACCGTTCAAGAAATATATTGGAATTACAAATTAAGATGGGGTGTTAAATATAATTTGCAATCCCAAAATAAAAAGAATAAGGATTCCAACGCACCAATTCTCAAGGCAGTGAAGATTCAAGAACAAACTTTTATTATTCTCAATGTATTAATAAATTTTACCTACTACAAATAATTTTTCCATAAATACCCATGTAGTATGCGCATTTGAAAAATAAGAAAGCATCAACGTTTCTTTTAAATAAAATTTCTCTCTACTATAATTCTCTTCCACAACTCCTTATTTCCAACGAATCCAAACCCTACTCAGCTTTCAAATGTGCAAAGGCAACAACAGCACACCGAATCCAACAAATTAAGTTCAAACAATTAACAATCAATTACAGGTAAAGTGCAGTTACTGATCTGAATCAAGTACTAATTAATTTACGAAATGAAGAAACCATACACTTTCATCGACCGATTGCTTCTCCTTCCAGACATGATTGCGAGATGAGATTAGGTGAGCTGAGCAGCGGAAAACACGGAACCGATTTCAGCGATGAAGACAGATCAGAGTGATGTTAGCGCTTCCTTCCACTTATATAGCGAGTTCTGGAAATGACCGGTGCATTACACCGGGTTCACTCCACACCTTTTTTTTTTTTAAATAATTATAATTTAGCGGAATAACATTGAAAAGTTAGGGTTTTTTTAATAAATAATACAGATAATTTGATTTAGTTGCCATGTATTTATTTCATACGATTTTGTAATACTATAATATGGGTAATTTTATTATTTATATATATTTATTTAAAAAAAATTTCATTTCATATTTTAGTTATAGTAATATATTATTCTTTTCAAAAAATATTTTATGATAGAATTATATAAAAAATTAAACATTTAAATGTTAGAAAATAAACATTTAGCGGAAGCGAATAAGGTAATTTAAACAAACTTCCAGTCATTGGAACCTGTTGCCAAACTCTGGAACCTTGGGAAGATGTTGCCAAACTCTGGAACCATGTAAAGATATTGCAAGATCCTGTAACCCCTAAGATGATGTTGCCAAACTCTAGCTCTCAAACAGCGATAGTGTATTCTCATTTTCTCCGGCCATTGCTAAAAATTAAATTTATTCTTAGATCTTCTTCTTCAAGAATAGTAGATTGGAACCTATTGCCAAACTCTGGAACCCTTGTGAAGATGTTGTCAAACTTTGGAACCATGCGAAAATATTGCAAGATCCTGTAACCCTAGGATGATGTTACCAAACCCTGACTCTTAAACAACGATGGTGTATTCTGATTTTCTGAGAGTAGGTTTAGTAATCCGTATGTGAGAGTATTTATAATTAAAAGAAAAACCGTCCATCACGATTTTTCTACCACTTGTCACGTATATTTTGAATGTGATAGAATTAATGAGAGAAAAGTGGACCACAATTTAAGGTTAGTTCAATTATATAAGATAATTAAAAAATAATCAAAATTTAAATATGATTAATTAATTAATTAAACTAACATTCTTCTACTTGGCCCATTCAAACCATCACAACATAATGAGAAACTTTACATACGAATCATGGCAGTAGGTCTTCTATAAACGAATGCTACCTTCCATGTATCACGATATGCCAAGCATCTCAAACTAAATTCA